GGTCACTGAAACTGCTGGCAGAGCTGTGGGAGGAGGAATTTTCCCAGGTATTGGCCTCAGCCCACCCTGGAGGGGTGCCTTTGAGTTCAACATCATGTCAGCAGTCTGCAGCTTAGCGCAGCCCACTTGGAAATGGTTTGGGTCTCCTGCAAAACCCTTGCAGGGCCAGCAGCTGGATGTACCCATGAGCAAAAGGAAGCCTCTGGGCTCTGGGTGACTTCGCCAAGGGAAGGGCAGCACCTGGAAGTGCCGCAGGCCCCGTCTGCATGGCAAACACAGGGTTTCTTCTTCCCTAGGTTTGAATTTGCTTCTTCTAGTGAACACCCAGCTCCAGTTTGGGGAAACAAACTTGACTTCATCGCAGTTCACAGTGCCCAACACACATGCGATCAAGTGACCACATTTAATTTTCTGTACTCTATATAAAATCCAATATTGCCATTTTTTTCTTAATCAAAACCATGAGCAGATACCTGGGGGCAGCTGAAGCCTCATTCATAGCACTACCATACACTTTTCTCCTCCCCATACTATGCCTCCTCCGTGCTAGCAGTAACGAGCTAGTTGTCGAGCAGGGGCTGCCCTGGTGCTAGGACATGCGGAGCAGTCGACGCTGCCTTGGTCTGGGAGGAAAATACCCAACCTGAAAGTACTAGCTCTTCTGCCAGTCCTTGCCCAGCCTTGCAGCACCCGGTCACCATCATTCCTCCCTGTCCAAGCCTCCTTCTCTGCAGGAGCTGTTGTACCTTACACCTCAGCTGTGATCCTGTCCCCAGCACACCAGTACCCCTCTGCAGGATGGCTTTAGGGTGACGGCCCAGCCCAGCCCCAGAGCCACCCCGCCGTGGGACACAGGGCTGCCCCACGCTTACGCACTCAGCAAGTTTCTTTACACGCAGCAGCTTCCTCTTCCAGCCCAGGGGGATCCAGACGTCAGTCGGCATGGAGCGAGCGGCGAGCCCGGTTGTGGCGGGGTGACTGACCCCTGCGTTGCTCTGCAGGTCCTCATGGCTCCACAAATACGTGAACAGCAGCTTCTTCGGGTTAGCTGCAAAGCCTTTGCTCCCTGTCAGCCAGGGCTTCGTAGCATGTATTATTGCCTGGCCAGCTGTGCATAGGAGGGGAGATACACGTGCCAGGCTATGGTGAGAGATAACAGAGGTTCAAATACCCATGAGATGACCTCAAGGGAAGAATCATTACACACCCAAGGAAAAAAAGTAAAATCCAACATGTATGAGCATAACTCACAGCTCTCCAAATCGCTCTTTCTAATTTTGGAGGGCTGCTCCTCCTGGGTGTGGGGTACCACAACTGCTGCTCCTCCCGGCTGTTGGGGGAGAGGGCTCTGTGTGCTCCCCTGCTCAGCACCCTTGTTAATGGGGCTGTGATGAATGAAGCCTCATCGCTGCCAAGGTGAAGCCGAACACAGCCAGGGAAACCTCCCGGGGCAGCACCTCGACCTGCAGCAAAGCAGTAGACCCTCACAAAGGGCTCTGGGTGACATGTGTCAGGGTGCCAGGCTTCCCTCCCCATCCCCATCACCACCCACAGCGGGTTCCTGCACCCCCTGGGGACAACAGGCACCAACCACCGCACAACCACTGCAGTGCCTGGTGTCCCTGTATCACACCCGGATGCTCATCCCTGGGCTCTGCGGTGGAGCTGGCACCGCCGCGCTCGCCCTGGCCCGTGGAAACAAGGGATTGCTCTGCCTAACAGAAGAGCACAGCCCGACCTGCCCCATGGCTGTCACTGCGGCTTCTTCTGGTTTTGCACGCGGGCAAAATGCAGCTCTCTACGCTCGCTGGCAGGAGTGGGCCAACGCGTGCAGGTTCCCAGGACCCAGTGGGAGTCTGCTCCTCTGAGCAATCACACAGGCTTCGGGAAAAGAACTGGAAATAGCTTACATATAATTATACAGCTTCAAACAATTTAAATGTGATGTTTCTTTTATGCTCTAATCAAACCAAATCCAGAATTTTCTATTTTGATTATTTTAAAATTAAACCAAAATTTGTTACATCTACATTAAAAATAATTTCACAAATTAAATCTCTTAAGTTTCTGTTGTGTGACCGATATTTTTGCCTGTTGCCTGCTTGCAGTTAGCAGAGCTACAGCCCCAGCCCAGCCCCCCCCCCAGCACACGCGCTGCGAGAGGGTCCGAGCAGGCAAAGGCAGATGCTGGACTCGGTACCGTCAGCTTCCCTTTGCTGATGCTGAAGCATGCAGCCAAATGCGAAATGAGTCACTAACCCACCACAAAGCCCCTTATTCTTATTTAGTGGAAGCCAGCTAAAGAAAACCAGTGCCCAGGGCCCGCAGGGCTTCAGTCACCCAGACTGCATCAGGAGCTCCCATCAGCCGGCTCCCCAAACCCACAGCAGATTAAAGCTGTGCCAGGAGAGCTGCACATCCCAGCTGGTGGCAGTTAAATAAAAAAAGCTTTTCCTGTAATGGCTTTCACATGGCATTTGTTAGGATTCAAACCTGTTTAATGCTTCCCAGTCTTTCCATATGGGCATGGCAAAGCCTCGTTTCCCTGCTCACCTGGAGAGCTGCCACCCAATGCCCTTGAACCCCTGGTTCATGAGCTTTTGCAGTCCTTCCCCTTTCCTTTCTGAAGATGAGGCAATCCATAATTTGAAAACAGAGCTGCTGCTGCAAATATCTTTAATGTTCTCATTCGTGGCGATCTTAAGAGCCGAAGGCTGCTTTGCCTGTGAGGCGGTTGTCTTGCCCACAGATTCAGCAAAGGGAGCAAGCAAGTTTGCGGCAGCAAGCAAATATTTGTGGTACTGAAAGCTGGAAGTCGAATGGCACTTGCTCACACATGTAATCTGTACTTTACTCACACCCTACTCACACATGTAATTCTTACTCCTGCAAGCACATCAGCTGCTCCGGTCCCTGCTAGTGACCATTGCAGGGTCTGGGCTGTCCCTGCCCGTCCCTCCAGCACATGCTGCCTGCACCTGGCATACAAAATACTGCTCTGTGATGCCACAAGTGCTGGGTTTTGCCCACGGAGAGACATTATTTTCTTCTAATAATTGCTTTAGTGGAAAGGACTGGTCCCTTTCCCACCTTTCCCACAAAGCCCTATGGGCTATAATCTCCTTTTGCTCAGGGCTTCGTTTCACTGAGACTGCATTTTTATTTCTTATGCTCATCAAGGTATGTAAAAAAAATTAAATGTGTCCCTGTATAGATACGATCTGCCAGGGGAGAACTCAACCCAGAGCGGCACGGGGAGCCAGCAATGCGCTCCCTCCCACCTGTGCAGCACATTGCAGCGTGCTTCTCCCCGGCACGAAATCCTGGGCAGAGCATTCCCCAGGGCGAGGGGGGCTTGAATAACTCCTACCAAAGACGTTCTTGGGACTGGAGCTCGGTTCCCTCTCTCAACAGGGAATGCTCTAACCGTGAGTCATGCCAGCAGCTCTCTGGGTATCCCCAAGCACTCAAGACTCTGACCTGTGCATCTCAGTAAGTATTCTTGGGTATTGAATCGTTGGCTGGCTCAGCACTGAAAGCATGAACTCTTTCCCCATCCTACTACTTCAGAATGACATGAAAAGTTGAATCCATCACTAATGTGATTCAGATAATCGCGTTGCATCAAAGAAACGGAAAAAAAATGTTGCACTGATGCAGCTCCTGGTCAACCAATATCAATGCTCCTGTTTTTTTTCCCGAGTGCATCACCACTGCCAGGTGAAATGGTGAATACAAAATCAGCAAGAAGAGAGCAAAACTACAGTCACCCCTTTCTCCCATTACAGCTGTCCTCCTGCCTGCCCATCAGGTCAGAGCCACAGCATCTGAACCTGCGACAGCTTTTGCACCCCCAGACAGGAGATAAAAGAGACAGATGAAAGAACAATAAAAAAGCACCCGAAGATGAGAAATGCTGCAGTGGATGGAAACGGAAAGTGAAAGACAGACCATCGAAAGTGCCCACAGCCTGGCAGCACTGCGCTCAGCAGAGGCCAGCGCTCCCTCCCCGCACACGAAACCACAGGCACCACTAGCACCAGCCACATTACTCAGCTGGGTGTTTTCAGGGCTGGGGGGGCAGAGAAGACAAGGAGACAAAGGAGGATCCCATGGGGGTCCTGAGGTCCCAGGGTGATGGGCAGGAGAGGCACCGCTGCTCCGTGCTCTGATGGAGGGCTCAGGGGACCGAGCTGGTGCCCCAGCCCTCGGCACACACCCCTCCGCACTGCAGCACCATCCAGCTCCGTGAAGGTCCTCACAGGAGCTTTTTATTTCTGTTAATGTCATACAACTTCTTTAAAACAAAACCCACAGGGTTGATGAAGAGTTTTATCCACACCACCAACCCTGTTTCTGTGTGTAAGGGTTCCTGGATCTTGCCCACATCTTTTATTTTCTGTAAAGCATTGCGAGCTAAGTATGGCAATCCCTTAGAGTGACAATGCTGAGATGGGTGCTGATGTGCCCCTAACAGAAAGCTTTGCAGTTAACCTTGCAGTAAACGCAGCCAGTTGATGATGGGGAAACAAAATCAGCTCCTAGATCCAATTGAAAAAGCTGCTAAAAAAATTTGGGATAAAAAAGGTAACTCTTCCCTTATCTCAGGCACACATTGATTCAAAAAACCCCTTCTTTTCCCCCCATGTTCTAGGGTGCTCTTCAAACAATCCTTCCATTTCAGCATGAGAAGTTACCTGTCCAAAATGTAACCATTCAAAATACCTGTGTGCTTTTTAGGGAGCTATGGCACCTATCCAGCGGTCACCACCAGCTCCATCCCTTTCCTGGAAAAGGCTGTACCCTGGCATGTGGATTTGAGCTTTGGAGTTGAGCCTGCAAATCACACCTGAATTTGGGGGCCCCAGTCTGGCTGGCCACCTAAGGACACAAAGTTGCCAGGCTGTCACCTGAAAGCCAATGGCCAGAAACCCGCAGTGAAGAGCAGAGATGCTGTGGTACACGGCAGGGTCACGAGGAAAACTGCACAAACTCTGGCGATGGCTGGAAGAGAGAAGAGCCAAGAGATGCAGGTGATTAACAGCCAGGATCTTATGGGTTTCCGTGCGCTGACTGCGGGTTCAGGAAAGCCACTTTGACTCAGAAATGACATTTAATTTTGTGACTTCAGCTTTCAAATCAATTAAACGTCAGCACATGCTTAGGGTTATGTATTTCAGGGGATTCCTCAATGAATAAGCACCAACAGCCAAAAAAACACCAGGCAAGTCTCAAGTCTTTGCTTTCCCATTTTGTGGAGCCACTGCTTCCCAACATAAATCAGAAGCAACGCTTCTGTCAGTGAGGCTATTTTGGTGAGATATGTGACCCTGGATCTTCCGAAAAAATTATCCAGGAGCAAAGAAATGATCCATGATCAATCCTCCATATGTTCTGAGAGCGGTAAACAGTACAAAAATTAGTTTTATTTACTGAAGCATCCAGAAAACTTATTCCACACAACATTTTGCAGTTCTTTTTATGTAGCAGCTATCTACAATTAACTGTCAGCCTAGCTGTGATATCATCATACTGCAGCTTTAATTTTTATATATTATATATATATAATTATTGCATAATTATATATATATAAAATTATTGCATAATTATATATAATTATAATTACGGGGAATAGGACCCTCCTACAAATAACCCGTCTCTTCCCATCGAAGATATGTTACAAGCTGCTACATGACCTTCACAAAAGGTTTGGGAGCCGGCCTGCTAATGAAGAAAATTTATGATGTCATTTGACAGGTTACAGAAGAAGTAACACCACACAACCGGGCACCCCGTTAGGAAATAGTCCTCACCACCCATTTCACCGCAGCACACAGGTGGCGATGGAGAGGATGGCGTGTGATGTTCATGGCTCTTCATACGTCGCTTACTCTGAAAGCAAGGTGGCCATCATTTAGCGTGGACTTTGAGAGCAACCATGAAGACAAAAATTAGATTGCTATTCGTGAGAGGGGAGAGCAGGCAAGCCAAGACTGAAACAAAAGGTTAGCACGGCAGTGCCTCGTGTCAGCACGCATTTCCAGGAACCTCCCAGTTTTTTAGAACAGTGTGGCTGGAGAAGATCCTATTTCTCATCACTCACATATACAGTCCTCAAAACTAAACTGAGCTGAGGGGTTTGGGGGTTTGGGTTTTTTCTAAGTGGGTTTCTTTATTATTATTGTTTTTCCTTTCTTTTTCAAATTAGACTTTTAAGTATTGTTTTGGTTGAGTGCAATGTAGCCAAGGACAGAGTTTCATCCAGTTTTGACTACAATACGGTTATAGTTTTATAGCTAGACCCAGAATGGTTCTTATTTTCATTTGGAGGTTAATTTCAGCAAGAGCAATTTATGGTTGAAATAAAGCCAGTGGAATTACATTTTCTCATGTAAAATCATACATCTTCTAACAGTTTTAATAGACTATGGTATGCTGTTACTGCACTGTATCTCTAAACTCGTACGTGATATATCCCTATTTTTCTTGCTTTAATAACAATTGCATCGCTCCACCTTCATAATCCTTCATGTGCCTGATGAGATGGGTACCTGAGATCAAGGCACAATATGCAATAAAAAGGACGTGGATTTTTCAATTTCAAAAGAACTTGCTTCTCACTTTTGGATGCTGCTGACGTAGAAAATATGTCTAACACCCCAAAATAATATTAATATTAAGTGTTAGGCTGTATGTAATCACTAAGGAACATCAAAGGCCAGACCATAGATCTACAATTATTCCCATTTCACAGCTAAGGAAGAAAGACCATTAGTGCCTGGGACCGGACCAGCCCGGGGATTGCAGCACCCGTGCGTTGCTTCCCCCTCCTACGGGCTGGCCACCAGACGGTGCTCGCCCTGAGGAAAGCAGACAGACACAGATCATGCACGGTAATTACTGAGGTGCTTCATTCAGACTCAAGACTGGTCAAATATAGGATGCTATGTGATGAAGGAGGCAGACAGATGGATGAGGCTAGGAATGAAAAACAGATATAACATCTGCCCCAAATAAATGTATCATTAAGACTTCATTGCCTCTTTGCTAGGACCCCATAGTTAATATCTTATACATCACTTTGAGACAAATCTCAATAAAAAGTGCCTTACACAGAAGTGCACTCGCATTCAGTCCACGAGCAAAAGGCAATTGTAGTTGGGCACAGAATACAGATACGGTACAAACTGGGCAAAAGGAGCAGACACTGGCCAGGCTCAACTCACCACCCGTCCAAACTGGCACAACCACCATGTTAACATCGTGTTCAGCATCTGCCCTGGGGACTCTGACCGCAATACCTGTGGGACTGCTGCGCCGGGGGATTTGGGTCTGCAGAGTGTGATTACAAGTGCTGGAGCTTCGGCGGGTCTCTGGATTTATGGCCTCTGATCCTGCAGTAGGTGTACAACGGTATTCAGCAGCCCGGCATGGCAAGGACTTCAGTTTCAGATGCTACCAGGAAAATAAGTAAGTGGTGACAACGGTATCATTTGGGCACGGTTATAGATAATTGAGAAAAACTTTCCTATTTGTAAAACAGCAAATGTAGCAACATTCAATTATTTCTTCTTCTATCAGGAAAAAATTCACTCACCAGTGTTAGGATATATTCCATTTTAACAGCAAATTAAAGCCACCCCGTGTTTCAGTAGTACATTACCTAACTGTTTGGGTGAGGGAGCACCAAGACAGCATTTCTGCTTTGGAAACACCTCTGCAACAACAGGACATTCCTTGCAAATTATCTGTGAGCCGTATATCATAAAAGAGAGAAATTACATAAAGAAAGCAAACTATAGCTCAAGGTTTTGCATAAAAGGGAATCAGAAGTGTCCCACTCGCATGGCTGTCCTACTTGTGTAGCCTGTATTTTTCAGTCCCCCACGGCTGGGGCTGCTGGGGGGCTCTTTGGAGGTGAAGTCCTCCGGGAAGATGCTCTTGCCATCCCAGCCAGCTTTCAGCAGCACATATTGGACACCCTCTAGCCCCAGTTTTTCCCCTGCCTCACTGCCTCAGGTACAAAGAAATCCCTCCGGGAGCTGGGGCTCAGCAGCAGGGAGGAAAGTCCTCTCTCCTGGCCCATAAGACCACTGAGAAGAGGCACCTCCACGCGCAGCTTCCCCTGAGATAATTGTTCGGTGCACAATATCTGTTCGACAGCAGCTGCCTTCAGAGACCTCTGAAGGTATTTGAGCTAAATATTCCTCCTTTCGGACAAAGAACTCTAGCTAATATCCCAGTACATGCCTAAGTGCAGCACATGAATGCCATGAACAAGAAGCTGATGTCCAAATTATGTGTCAGTGCCCCCACCTGAAGAGAAACCTCCTGCCCTGCGGCTGAGGGCAAGGCTAGGACTGAGCATTGGGCAAAGAAACCTGGAAAGCCGAACCGATGCCTTTTCAAGAACACACATGCAAGCATATGCTGAAGGTCTCTCTCACTTCTGTGTCAGAAAAAAAAGTCTCCTACACAAGATTAAAACCACAGCCCACAGCCTAACAACTAGTGCAGAAATGGAAAACACACACTGAAATTGGAAAATTATGCGGCGCTGGTATTCTAGCAAAGTAAGTCTCTAGACACACCACAACCTTCTTATGGGAAACACGATGTCAATTAAAATAAAAAGAATCTGAAAATGCAATATAAACCCCTTGATTCATTCTGCTCCTTTCCGAGTCGATAGCAAAACTTCCATTGACTTCACGGCAGACCTGATGGATAGAAAAGTTTTCTACAGCCTTTTGGCCAGGCTAAGAAAAGCCATGCGCAATATGACCTAATACTGACATATTTGGCGATTATACCAAGTATACCAGAAAAAAAGCGAGTTTCCAGGCAGGTCTTCAGGAATATTCATTAATGACATCTCATCATTATAGTTTTTAATAATAAAGAATGGAAATGGAAAAGCTTATCCGTGTGTCATGCACATACTTTGAGTAATTCGTATTTTTCCGTAAGCTGGCTGCACGCAGCGTGCAAGGGGAACAGTCCTGAGGGAAGGGCTGCCGGCCCCCACCAGCGCCCAGCTCTGCCCCGCAGCATCCTCCGCCGGGCTCGG